CTTTCGTTCTGGGTGTTGAAGCTTGAGCCATAACTAGAGTAACTAAGGATCATCTGCAATGGTGAGACCTTAGCGTCTAGGAAAATGGCACTATCGTCTTTCAGCCATAATACACTGAGGGACTGAAACTGTGGAACCTGTCAGGATGTGTGCTGTCCAAAGAACGCACATCGTAAATCGTGAGGATTAAAAATGTTATGAAGGCACCTCAGGGTGGAGAATATTGTATGGAGAAAAATAATCTATTGACACTTTTTGTAATTTTCAACTTGAAATGTTTTGCTAATGGGCTGTATACCTTACATATGAAGTATTTTGAAAATATTAAGACTATTGCGATCATATTGCAAAGAACATGGTGTGTGGATACAAGTTGAAATTTATTGCAATTTCTGTTATATTCAAGTCAAAATGTTTCTGATTTTTAAAAAAATTATGCACAGAGCATACTTTTTGGAAAAAAGTATAGTTTGTTTCTGAATGTGGTTACCCTGCAGGTTAAGACTGTTGTTTCCTGAACAAGTATGAGTCTATTGAAAAGTGTGGGATTTACAAATCTAGCAGCTACCCAACATCTCCCTTGCACCCTGAGATGCTAACTAACATACCATATAAAATAAGGCGCAAAAAAAGCTCATGTTAGATGCCATGAGCTCAAAATTGCAGAAAGTTTAGAGTATTGAATTTGCAGGATGAAATTAATAAGGAAATTAGGAAAATAACGAGGCCACAAAAAGATATTGGCAAGCAATTAAGGAAAGGCTAAATATATAAAGATTGATAAAAAAAACTAAGGAAAGGGTTAAGACAATAAGAGTCCAAAAGGTAATGTGTGTTTGGAGATGTGAATATGATTCTTGATGAACACCATTCATCTATTTTCATAAAAAAAATGAAGTAATCTTTGCAGTTAAGGAGATGTGAGAAACATTGGATGGAATATAAATAATGAAAGCAAAATATTAAGATGTCTAGCATACATTAAAGTGGATAAATAACCAGGCCTGGATGAAATGTAAATAAAAACCGAAAGAACTGCGGATGCTGTAATTCAGGAACAAAAACACAAGTTGCTGGAAAGGATCAGCAGTTCTGAGGAAGGGTCACCAGAACCGAAACATTAATTCTGATCTTTTCTTCACAGATGCTGCCAGACTTGCTGAGCTTTTCCAGCAACTTCCTTTTTTTGTTCTTGGATGAAATGTATCCTGGGTTGCTAAGGGAAAGAAGGGGAGAAATAACGGAGCCTTTGACCATTGTTTTCCAATCCTCTCAGTCTACGGATGTGGTGTCAGAAGACTGCTAAAGTTGTATTGTTGCTTAAAAAAAGAGAATGGCATAGCACAAGTAATTTCAGACCATTCACTCTCACCTCAGTAGTTGCAAAATTATTGGGAAGTATTCTGATGCACAATATAATTTAGAAAGGAATGGAAGGCTAAGTCCTATCTGATGAACTTAAAAAAAGTTTTTTGACAAAGTATAGAGGAGAGTCGATGTATGTAGTACCTTTGATGTACTTTATGTGGATTTTAACAAAACTACATACAAAACTATGGCAAATTTGTTGTAAATTAAATGCCCATGGGATCCAAGGGAACGTGGCAATTTGGAGACAAAATGTTCTCAGTGTCAGGAAGTAAAGTGTCATGGTTGACAAGCTAGAAGGCTTCCAGTGTAGTTTCACAGCACTCAGTTCCATTCACCCATGGTATCAAAAAACAACTGAAGGCACAGCATACTGAAAAGACCATGGGAACTGATAACATTCTGTTTGAAGTCTTGCAATTCAGAACCAGCTGTACTCCTGGCCAATCTGTTCCAGTATAGCCACAACACTGGCAACTACCTGACAATATAAAAAATTGCATAGGTATGGCCTGGACATAAGCGGACAAATCCAACCAAGTCAATTACTGTCCCATCAGTCTACCCTCATCAAAGTGATGGAAGGGGTCATCGATAGTGATGTGGCAGAGGCTGCAAAGGGATAACCTGCTCACTGATCCTGAGGTTGCAATTGTGGCTGGAAGTAGTGGCACCTTTTAATATGAAGCATAACTGTTACTCATATTGTTCCTTGTTGAGGTTCAGGTCGGAAGATTGCTCCTCGAACACTGTGCACAGAAATTACTTTCTCCTGAGAAGCCATTTCCACCATTTCATCCTCCCTTGTCAAACACCTTGTTCATTCTCCAAGTTTTGATAAATTGCAAGGGAATACCTCTTTCAGTCCATGCCACAGAACTCCCTGTAGATTTTTACAACTTTAAGCAACCACGGAAAGCACCAAGCACTTGTAAATGTATACCATCAGCCAAGTTATTAATTTGAAAGTAGTTGATGAGTCCTTTAAATATTGCTAGTGTGGACCTTTAGGTTGCTGGATAATGCTCAGTTGTGTGAGGCGAAGAGATAGGGACCTAGCTTCAAGGTTGTTCTCCAGATGACACTGCTGATCTCAAATCAGCATTGCATACTAATTGATGTCATAATCTGCTCGCTGTGTATAACCACAGAATTTGTACTGTGTGCACACTAATGCCCTGACCGATGTGACATCTCACATAGTTTGTCCCAAAATGTGCATGCACATTGAGAACACTGTTTTGGAGGACTAAGGGACCACAAATCAACAAAAAAAAAGTAAAAAATTCCAATGTCTCATCCCATAATTTCTAAAGCTACTTCACCCAGCTAACATGAACAGTTCAAGACAAGGCAACAATATTAGTTTTCTTTGTAATGCATTCACCTTCTGAATGAATCTTAAAATGGCCAAAAGCATGGTCTTTAAATTAGCTGGGAAAGGGATGGTAAGTTTTATGTGCTCACCGTCATTAGTTTGTAAATAGCTAGGAATGGCCCACGAGTTGTAAGTCACCACAAATTGTTGAATGATTTGTAAGACTTTGCCTTCAGCATCCCCTATATGGGAGCTGACCATTAACCTCCTGAGGGATTTCAAAGAAATTACTACATTTGATCTATTAAAATGAATTAAACATGAACAGTGTTAGTTCTGGTAACTGCATAACACAGATCCTCTTAATGGTAAGACTTATGTTCCTGGTGTGCTGGTGAAGCTCTCTCGCTCAAAAAATGAACAACTGAAATTGTAGAGACACATTCCTGGCAGGAGCACATCATTCCTAAGGATATTTAAAAATGAAAAATGAAGACTTGAAATTTAAAACAAAATCTTACTTTATTTTCTGCCTCTATTAATTATTTCTTTTCTTCTTCTTAGTTTCCCTTTCTGCTTTTAATTTCACCCAGATTGACTGAACTTGCTTCTCTTCCATGCCTTTGTTTCTCTATTCTTACATCTCATTGGTCAGGGAGAAAGACTTTTGACTTTATCATTCATCAAGACCCCAGGGGCACTATCGATCTCAGCATGTGATTTTCAGTTGCATCTCCAGCAATATGCAGCAAAAGGGTTTTGAGCTGAAGATAAGGAAAATAATCTCACAAATGGAGCATGCCAGATAATGTCCTACTCCTACAAATTCTAGACAACTAAGGTCTCATGCATAGGTCTAGGTAAATAGAAGTAATGCATTGACAGCCGAAATGTGAACTTCAGCAACAAAAAAGATCCTAATCTTTAATTAAATTTATAAAATGCAACATATTTACACCATCATTACAGCAAGCACTTTTCCATAAGTGAGACAAATACAGGCATTTTTAGACAGTTTTGACCTCATAATGATTCAACAGAAGTTCTTGTAGCTATTATTACCTATAAGCTGCACCTTCTCAGAAAGGTATAATTGTAATGTTGTAGGATGCAATATCAAACAATTTTGCTGCTTGAGTGATTTTTTTTGCTTGAAATATAGTCTTGCATTAAACATGTACTGTGCAGTTGCAGGTATTTAATTTTGATCAGATTGCACAGGCCATAGAACTAATTGTGTTTGCAATAAATCAAAGTTATGATGCAAAATATTCACAGACATTAAGTGTATAATTGATAGATGAATATTTCAAGGAAAGCTCATCATTGGTTAATTTCCTTAAAAATATTTTCTGAATCTAAATATAATGGGTCAATTTTAACTTTTAGAGTTATAGAGTCATGGAGCACAGAAACAGAGCCTTTTGCTCCAACTCGTCCGTGCTGTCCAGGTTTCCTAAACTGAACTAGTCCCAGTTTGATGTGTTGGCCAATGTCCCTCTATAACTTCCCTATCTATGTACCTGTCCAAATGTCTTTTAAATTTTTTAACTGTACCTGAATCCAACACTTCCTCAGGCAGTTCATTCCACATATGAACCACCCTCTATGTGAAAATGTTGCCCCTCAGGTCCCTTTTAAATCTTTCTCCTCTCACATTAAAATATGCCTTCTCGTTTTGAACTCCCCTTCCCTAGAGAAAAGACCTTTGCTATTCACCTTATTTATGGCCCTCATGATTTTATAAACCTCTATAAGGTCACCCCTCAACCTCCTACGCTTCAGTGAAAAATGTCCCAGACTACCCAGCTCTCCCTGTGTTTATGAGATTCAGCAAGTTTCCAGACAAATGTGCCTATTAAGTTGCAACTAGAATTCAAAGTTAGATCCAGAATTAGGTTGTTAGTTTTAAGGTACCTACTCCATCAATCCTTTAATTAGTAATTTAATAAAGTCATTAATCTAATCCAAATTCATAGACACCAGGGAAATTTCTACTTTTATCATCTGCCTCTTGTAAAACACATCAGATTTTCATTCTACGTATTTTGATGTAATAAAAATTATATGGGTTCTACAACAGATATGGGACCTACATTGTCGGATTATTGCCCAGGCCCCATTTGCTTTGGTTAAAAAAACAAAGAAAGTGATCTGCAATTAATGCTAAATATTTAATTAAATATTTATGAGACAATCCATTTAAAAATAGATATTTACTTTGACAAAAATATAAGAGTTGCGTCTGTGCCTAGTTTTGACATATTCATGATATAATTAAGTTCACATCATGATTGCAATTGACTTAACTTACAAGATGTAGCAGATGACTCCTATGCTCCACATATCTGTTGCGTACCCAATTGGTTCATAGTTGATAACTTCAGGAGCCACAAATTCAGGTGTACCAAATAGAACCTTTAGTGATGTTGCACTTGCTAGAAGAAACAACAAAAAAATCAAGTTATGCTCCAATCCTCCTCCTGCTGAAACAATTGAGGTCAGCAAATTAGTACTCATGGCAAAAGTGTACTGATTAATTTCCATCCTTAACAAAAGATTTCAGTTAGCTATCTAGATTGAGCATTTGCTAAAGAGTTGCTCCATTGCTTGAAGAAGGGCTGAGATTAAAGGAAGGGGAAAAACACAAAAGGCAATGAGAGAAATGAGATCTCACTTTGGAGAACAAATGGGAAGGTGAAGCGCTCATGATGCAATTTATCAATTCATAAGCGAGGGAGCAAAAAGGAAATGTGTCAGAAAGCCTACCAAATATCAACAAAATTACATTTAGAGCATTTTTTAACTGCTGTCTGCCTATTTCTTGCACAATTAATGCACTGATTATTAATGTGGGGAGCACCTTGGTTCTCCCTTGAATCCCAAGACCCATCTGATTTATTTTTCAGGTGGATTATTAATTAAGCACACAGAAATTCCACCCAAAAAAACCAGACTTGCATTTATATCATATCTCACATGACCTGAGAATATCGCAAAGCCCTTGGTTCAGTGAAGTACTTTTGAGTCACTGTTGGAAAGTAGGAAATGTGGTACAGCAAATTCCTGGAAACAGCTATTAGACAACAAACTGTTCACCGGTTGCTGAGTTATTTTATTTGTTCATGAGATGCGGGCATCACTGCCTATGCAAGCATTCGCTGACCATATTTAATTGTCCTTTAAAGGCAGTTAAGAGTCAATCACATTGCTGTGGATCTGGAGTTGTATACACACCAGAGTAAGCATGGCAGATTTTCTTCCCCAAAGGACATGACTGATCAGTTGGGTTTTTGACAAGTGCTGTTGGTTTCAGAATTACAAATACTGAGAGCAGCTTTCAATTCAAGATTTTAACAACTGAATTTAAATCCCATTAGTGAAATTGGTTCAGGGATACATATAGGCTAGAACACCAAAATATAATTCCCCTGTTCTTTCTAATAGTGTGCTAGAATGTAATGCATTCGCTTGAGAGACAAGATGGAAGGCTGCCATTATCGGTGCTGCACCATAACTGACATTAGCGAGTTACATTGTAGATTGAACACAGTTTAATCAGTCATCCTTGAAATATGCTAATGAGGCCTTCAGGACCCATTTGAGAAGAATTAAAAGCTGTCATTAAAATCCTGCCCATTCCTGTAGGTGCAACTCCCTTCTGATTGTCAGTTTCAAACACACAAAATTCTGCTGTTCCCTCCTCCAGTTACTCTAAGGTGCTGGTATGGAGCAGGCCTGAACCCCGTGGCAGTGACAATGAAGGTCAACATCATCTGCCATAGTGCACTTTAGCTGGAAACTGACCCATTCCCCTTCTGGTAAGGACTCACTTGAGCTGATGCTGCTATAGACAGGAATAAGCAGCAGGTTGCTTACAGACACAAGTTGGGCTGTCACCTGGTCAGAGAAGCCAAGTTACAATTTCTAAATACAAATGGGCATGATGTGTACTGTGCATGCTCTATCCATGTCTAAAAGCAATAACCAACAGAAGTCATTCCAACATTGTTTTGACAGAATTCTTGTAGTGGCAGGAGTGCAGGTCCTTGTGGACCATTAAAAACACTGCTGCCCCCTACAAGCCATTGGTTCGATATATCCTTCCCTTTTTACTTTCATTTAATGTCTCAAATTTCCCCAGGAGACATAGATTTGTCGTTTTAATTTATATAAATGCAAGAATTTTGTTTGTTTTGCTGCTAAAACTTTAGGATAAGTTCGTCTTTGTTAATTGTGAGCGACTAGGAGGAGGACGGGCAGGGAACGTGGGAAGACCCAGGACAGAGGAGAACGGGAGAAGGCCCAGGGCAAGGTACAGGGGAAGAAATCCCGGCTAAGGCCCAGAAGCAGGGGAAGGAAGAGCCTAAGGCATTATGGCACATTCTTTCTAGTTATCTGAAAACTTAACTACAATCACTGAAAGCTTACTGTGTATAAAGCTACCATAAATCACTTTGACTAACAACGTTTTTCAGCCACATGGATTCAGTGGGGTGACTTAATTCATACAAAAAAAAATCGCATGACAATATAGAATATAACAAAGTTATCAAGTGGTATTCTAGTGAAGTCATTACCTAATCTTCTGGCAAGTCCAAAATCAATAAGTTTTATCCTTGCTCCTGTTTTGTTGACACACATGATGTTTTCTGGCTTTAAGTCCAGATGTACAATTCCCTGTTTGTGGATGAACTGCACACCTTCATTAATTTGTAGCATGTATTTGATGCATTCTCTCTCGGTCAACTCAAAATCCTCATCGATTATTCTCTCAAACAGCTCCCCACCTGAAACTCTGAGAGACAGAAAATTATACTGGATAAATAATTGAAACAACAATGGGGAAAAGCACTGACATTTAACACATTTCCAATAAATAGACGCACATTTAATGTGTACGTTTAGACTTTTAGCTCTTGTATTTCTGGTCAAGCAGACTCCTGTTACATACAATATAAAAACTGAAAGAACTGCGGATGCTGTAAATCACGAACAAAAACAAAGTTGCTGGAAAAGCTCAGCAGGTCTGGCAGCATCTGTGAAGAAAAAAATCAGAGTTAACGTTTCGGGTCTGGTGATCCTTCCTCAGAACCCAGACCCGAAACGTTAACTCTGATTTTTTTCTTCACAGATGGCGCCAGACCTGCTGAGCTTTTCCAGCAACTTTGTTTTTGTTCCTGTTATATACATCCCCACTAAGGTTCTCATATAACCTGTTTTGTTCCTCTATCCTGTGTTGGGAGGGAAGATTTTCCATTGTCCTTTTCCATGTCTTACTTTTCTTTACTCCATCCAATGTGGTTGCTCCAGCTGCCCATGATGATGCATGGCCATACAAGGATATCCCCATATGACATACCTGCTGCTGAGAGGCCTTCACTGAACAGAGGTGGGGTTGAAAATTTCCTATTGGCCTCACACTGTCAGAAGGGGTAATAAACATGTCGGGGTAGGGAAAATGTCTTCCACAGTGAAAAAAGTCACCCCAAACTGCAGAAACAGCTACTGAAACTCTTCAGACCTACAAACTCCTCCCCTGGAACAGTTATGGATAACTGTGTTCCTACTAATTCTCAATCTAACTTAACCGTAATGCACCGTGGAACTGCCTGATACTCAGATATACAATGCTACAAGCCATAATTTGTTACATATAATTAAGGTCACTTGGAACTGAGTAAGTTGATCACAAGAAGAGTGATTTGAAAGTGAATGAATCATCAAGCTCTGATGAAATGTGTCTTAGGCAGCTAAGGGAACAAATAATGGAGTTTCTGACTACTGTTTTCCAATCCTCTTAATCCACACACCTGGCACTAGAGGCTGGCTAAGACAGGACTTTTATTTAAAAAAGGACAACATAAGAACCAAGTAATTGCTGGTCTGTCAACTGAACCTCTGGTGGGCAAATAATTTTTAAAAATCCTGAGAGGCAGAACACATTGTCATCTAGAGACCATTTGTTTATGAAAGCCAGTCAGCATGGATTGATTGAGGGAAGGTCATATACAAATAACTTGCGTATTTTGAGGAGAAAACAAGGAAGGTCAATGGAGGTAGCATGTTTGATGATGTTTAAATAGATTTTAACAAAGCACTTGATAAGGTCCCATTTACAACTAGTCAGCAAGTTTAAAGCCCATAAGATCTAAGACAAAGTGGCAAGTTGGATCTAAATGTTGCCTGGGGGAGAGCAAAGGGTTTTGGGTGCAGGGTGTTTTGATAACAGGAATGTTGCCGTTGAAAATTGAAAGAGTGGCTAAATATACCCTGGCTAAACTTGTGAAGTGCTGTCCTCCTCACGCTATGCCTTGGTCTCCTACTGAGCTGGGTGCTGCCAATTGTGTATATCATTCTTCTCACAAAGCAGGTTCACTGGAGGTGTAAACAATGGTTCGTTCTGAAACAATGTGGCCGTTAGCATCTGGCTGGGCAGTTCCAAGCCTGTTTGGTTTTGACGGGAAGTTGATTGTCCAAGGCTAGGCGACATGAATACTGTCTGTTCCAGTTCTGCAGTTTGCAAATGCAGAGTCCGGTTAGGTTTAAATCTGGCTTCCGCATTGTGCATTTTTATCCATGGTCATGAAAAAAATATCAACATTTCTGTTACAATCCTGGAGGTCATGGGTCACCTTACTGCATTGTTTCAATTGTTGGACATATATGTAGGGCTGCATGATGAAGCAGTTTGCAGATGATACAAAAATAGACTATAAGATTGATGGTGAGAAAGAAAACTGTAGACTACAAGAAGATATCATTGGATAAGTCAAATAGCCATAAAAGTGGCAAAAACCATTCTCTCTGGAGAAGTGTGAGCCAATGCATTTGTGAAGGGCAAACAAAGTAAAGGAATACTGTCATACCAAATGTCTGCAGATTGCTCACCGCTATTGTCTCAAGGACAATCAGGGATTGATAATAACCGCTGGTCTCTCCAGCAAGGCTTACATCCCATGAAAGAGTGGAAAAAATAAACAGAATGCTGACTAGTGTTGACGAACTGAGGGGCATTGGACTTTGTGCTGCATATCCCTGAAGGTAGTACAAAAGCAAGATAATGTATCAAGAAGGCATACAGCATACTTTAGTTTGTTTGCCGATGTTTAGAGTATAAGAGAAGAGACGTTCTGTTGGAATTGTATAAATACATAAAACACTAGATAGTCAGTAGTTTCAGTCTTGTGTCTAGTTCCCGTCTCTGCATCACAGGATGTGAGTTCACTCAACAGGGCCCAAGAAGAGATTTACAATGACATTGCAAGGAATGGTGACTTTTAGCTATGAGGAAATATTTCATAAGCTCGAGTTGTTTGCTTTGAAACAGAGGAAACCAAGGGACAATTGAGTTCAGCTGTACAAATATTCGATATAAAGGACCGATTTCCCTTCAGAGATGTCAATAGGCATGGAGTATAGATTTAAAGTAAGTTTTAAAAGGATTGGAGAGAAGCTGCGGGTTAATTGTTTTCATCCAGTGGATGGTGATCATCAGGAACTGACTGCCTGAAAAGGTGGTAGAGACAGCAACCTTATAGCATTTAGATAGGCTTGTGCGATTTGTCACCTACTGGTATCCAGTCTTTCTTGGTCGGGGATCCTTCTGTCATTAGCCATTTTACATTTTTCAGGGGAGGAGTTGGCATAGTAGTATCATTGCTGAACTGGTAATCCAGAGACCCAGGTAATATTCTGGGGGCCTGAGTTAGAATCATTTCGGAGAATGTGAACACATTTGTAAAGTGATGGTATGTTGGTGCACTCAGCATAGTTGGGTGCAAGAGGAGGTTTCTCATATTCCAACTGAAATTTAACAGTTCAAAATTTGTGCAAAATTTGATTACTAAAAGAAATAAATCACAAGAGTTTCAGTGCAGAGGTCTAGTAGCATCATTTAAAGAGATGAAGAGTCTAAGAGTTATACCTTCTCTACAAAATACTATCTTTTATGTTTCTGAAGAAAAATAATGAATATTTCTGTCCCTTTTGTCTCAATGGTATTATGAAAGCGTAGCAGCCCACAAGCAGTTTTTTTATTTATTTATGGAATGTGGATGATGATGGCTAAAACATTATTTATTGCTCATCCCTAATTACGCAGGGGGTCAGTAAGATTCAACCACGATAAGGAAGACTGAAGCTGAATTTGGCTCAGGCATCAGGCTGGTATGGACCAATTGTACAGATCAGCACAAGGCAAAGCATGAAAAAAGTAATTTGGTTAGATCACTTGTCAATTAGTTTAACATCTACAAATCAACATTGCTATTACATATTCCAAAAGGTTCTGCATTTAAGAAAAGTTAATTTAACTGCAATTCAGCAAGTGAAGCTTCATGCACTTTTTGTTCTATCATGGGTATTATAGACTGATAGATAATAGCACTAGGGAATGGAACAAGTTGCTTTGCAGTCGCTGCTGGTGCTATGTCAAACATCCCTATATTTGATATGGAATAACCCAAATACTTCTCAGAATTAATCTTCCATTATCCTGGCAGAATACATAAATACCATCCCCAGAGGATCATTCCAGTTTGAAACTATGTGACTTCATCAGCTCACAGCATGGCTGCCAAATTAGTGCCAAAATTTGGATGGGCTCACATAAAACATGCATTCTGCTCCAGACCAGACTAGGAGCAGCCAAACATATTTTGTTCATGTCCCTTACCTTTTCATAAAACATTCACTTTGAATCAAATTTGAACTCAACTCCCAATGATGAAAAATACTATTTTTTACAGTGAGCAATCCATCTCTGCAGCCCCACATTTAAATGAGCGTTGTTTTTACTTTCAGCTCTTCCAAAATGTACATTTTTTGGAGGCTTGTCCTGGATTTGCATTTGCTTGGAAATTGAACATTTTTCCACTTGGTTCAGCCTGTGTTGGCATCAACCATTCTCAATTCTGACATTATGCAATGAGGTACAGAGCTGCATTTGGAACTCTAAACCCTGATTTTACACTCCAAAGAGAAGGGAAGGTGAGGAACTAAATCATTAAAATGGCTGTGGAGTTGCACTGCATTCCCAACAATTCGAAGATGGGATGCATTGGGAGACCCTTCTTCCGAGGAGATACTTAAGAACAGGACCAAGTTACATTTGTATCGTTCCCTTAACAAAGTAAAAGAAAATCCCAAAGTGTTTACATTTCTAAAACCGTGACCTGCTGATGCTGTAGGAACATCAGAACCATTTTAAGTTCAGGAACTGAGAGGCTTGAATGAAGTCAAGATCACTAGTAAAAGTGCCAAGAAGCAGAGCGACCCGAACAGGTCTGTTTGCATTATGTCGGTATTTCTTGTGGTTTGAGATCAGCACAAGTCCTTCTCAAGGCCCCTCAGGAGATCCTTGGTCTGCCTGAGCTCTGGATGTCCCTGTTCCCCCTAGCCCGGTCATCAAGTGTGTCCTCTCATGTTGATGCCACTTTACCCAATCTCAGGCAGGGTATGCATAGCACAATTTAACGAGACCGAGGCCTGAATTTTCATAAAGTCATAATGGCTTAACCAAAATGGCAGCGGAATCCTGATTCCAGGCGTCCTGAACCCTAAACCCAGTACATACTATTTTCACTAGAATTACATTGTACTTCACACATCCATGGTCTCCAGAGGCATCTGCACATGTAAACATATAACTGCCCTCCAAGAGAAGCAATTCACATTGCTGGGATTGCTGAAACATAACTCTTAGGCTTTAGACAAAGTCAAAGAAAAGGTCCAAAGCTGCTGGAGTTACTTGGAGGGTAAGGTGACCTTTGGGAGAAGTCAGCTGCCAGTTTGGGTCATTAAGAATAGACATGAATGTGCATAAGTATTGGTGAGCTCTGTTGAACTGTCAAGTGATTAAAACCCTCAGGCCCTTTAAAACAAATATATCCAGCCTTCCGTTGGGGAGAAAAAAGGATATTTTCTATTTAGAGATAGTGGGAACTGCCGACGCTGGAGAAGCTGAGATAACAAGGTGTAGAGCTGGATGAACACAGCAGGCCAAGCAGCATCAGAGGAGCGGGAAAGCTGACGTTTCGGGTCTAGACCCTTCTTCAGAAAATGGATTTTCTTCAGAAAATCAGAAAATTTTCTGAAGAGGGGTCTAGACCCGAAACGTCAGCTTTCCCGCTCCTCTGATGCTGCTT